AATAAAAATAAAAATAAAAATAAAATACAAAATAATATTATAAGTTTTGGGATTGAGCCCTCTTCAGACGTTAAAAACATATTGGAAAAGACGGTAAACAATAATTATCGCAAATTAATAGTAATCGCAATACGGATGAGTCTTGATGTAGAATTCGACATTATTCTCGTACGATAAGTCAGTCAAAAATGTGTCATATCTCTTAAAAAGTTCTAGTTGATAAAGAAAAAAAAAGACTTCTTGTGAAAAAATAAACAAAAATGTATTAATAACCGGAATTAGATAATAAAAATTCACCAAAAAAAACCACATGTGTAGATTATTCAAACAAGTTCCATAAAAGTATAACGTCATTGCAATATAAAAAGACAAGCGGAACGCAGACGTGGAAAGCGGATATTATGTATCGACTATTGTGCACGCTCGCTGATACGGATCACCACAGACTGAGGAAAGAGACGGATCGTCAGTATCAAAAAAGTCAAACTTTATTTATAATATAATGGGTAAATATGCCTTATAAAGACTTTTAGTGTCCGTTTGTAAATTTAAACTGTTTTTCTGCTTCTTAATGTTGAGCATCTCGGAAATTAAGCGTTTCTTATAACAAGGCTCTTCATCAAAATTTAAAAACATTAAAAAAAAAATGCGTTGACTCTTACTTTGCCCTTTATTTATTGTCATTTATTTTGTATACAAAGAGTCCTATGCTATCTGTTCGATGTTTTGAGCGCAAGCTGTAAAAATGCGTAGAATACATACCTCATATTTCAAATTTATATCTAAATGCTACAGTTTTCATGCGATTAAATGTCTCAAATTATGGATTAAGTATCGCAGAAAGATTACTACTAGTTACGTTTTATATTTGAATTTAAACTGAGTTTTTTTATTATATTATATACGAGTATGTATATGCATATTTATCATAATTGTAGCTATTCAAACTGCGCACCGAATTGGTTTTCCGAACTTACAAACGCAATTCAATTACTGGAATAATATCACAAATTAAATTAAATTGATAAACAAATTTTAATAATATTTTTGATGTTCAAGCCGGTATCATATTAAAAAGGTAAAAGATTATTGCAAAAAATATTACTAAGGCCTCGGTGGTCTAATAGCTTAGAACGCTCGTATGAAATACAAGAGGTCCGAGTTCAAGTCCCGACCGAGGTAATATTTTTTGCAATAAATTTATTTAAAGTTTATCAGCACATTAACATCTTTTTAATATGATACCGGATTGAACATCAAAATTATTATTAAAATTTGCTTGTTAATTTAATTTAATTTGTGATATTATTCAGTAGTTTAATTGCGTTTGTAACCAATTTGGCGCGCAGTTTGAGTAGCTACAAATATAGTATATATGCATGTACATATATACAATAGTATATATATTCACATTGATTAAAGATTTAAGCATTAAAGATCTAGCTTTGATCGTTATAGACTTGAATATTCTTACTTAATATTTATTACATTACGATCTTAATATAATAATTTATTATTATTCATTGTATTAAATTAATCAAAGCTAAATAGAATTTGTTGATCTTTTATTATTTATACAGGATTCCGGGACAAATATTTAGCCTTAAAATGTCGTATTTCTGACTCAATTTTAAGATGATTTTCCTTTACCTAAATTTTATCCGATGCTTAATTTTTTAATTATAAGAAAGAATATTAATTATAGATTGCATACGGAAGGTAGGCAGAGGCGAAGCAACTCATTATCCGATAGAAGCGATCAATTGCTTACTATGCGCGAAACGCGTAACATAATGGTATGCATATAAAGGACTTGGCAAAATATTTGTTTTTTAAATCTGTAATTTAAAATGCAAAATTAGAAAAAAGTATAATGGGAAGTCAGCGCAGTAATTGCACAAATATAATAATTATAGTTTAATAAATCATATAACATTTGAATTCGTTCCGTATGTATTTCGACATACGTTTATTTCATTTTCAATGGGAATAAATTAATCAAATATAGTGATTAATTTCTTATGCAAGTATGCAGCAATTATAATGCAAGCAATTACTAAAAATACTTTCAAAGTTCAATTTACTGACCGGAATAAAACAAGAAACCCTTATGACCAAGGTTACAAAAAAAAGGAACTATAATACCAGATATTGAAATTTAAAAAAAAAGGAAACGCAGAATTGGAGCAACTCGCACATTCATAAACCGTATGTGGCGTATTAGCGTTGATCAGTTGGTATCACTGCAGATCGGGATAATCGGTAGAAAGCGCAATGGAAAAAAACAGATCTACTTGCTCTTTATAACTATTTCTCAGTGTGTTGATATAAATATTAAATAAAAAAAGCAAATTTATTTAAAAAATTTTATAAAATTAAAATAAAAATAATAATAAAAAGCTAATCTATTTTTTAATAAAAATTTTTTAATAAAATTAAAAATAAATACACAATATTAAAAATGCTAATCTAGTTAAAAAATTAAACAAAAACATACAATTATTGTAGAAAAGCTTTAAAAAGTTTAAAATAATGTTTTATTCACAGCAGAAATATTCTGTATATATCATACGAATATATCCTATAAACGTTGAAATATGTTTTCCTGCGACTGTCCCTGTGACATAATTCGGACGTTTCTGGTATGAGTTATTATTAAATACCAAAATTGACACCTTATATAACTAAAGCATTAAAAAAAGCAATGAATTAAAGACTTTTAAATTAAGAATGAAATACTTTTATATTAATGCTATAATTCTTAGTTGCACATTTTAAAAGAGCAGTCGCCATGACAAATTTACTATTATATTTTTCAATTACATATTAGTAGTAATAGTAATAATGCAGGTAGAGCTATGGCAGCCACTTAACGTGACTTAGATCTCTGAAGTTCCATCGTTACTCACTATGTATTTTTAAAGTAGTGTAATCAAGTCCAGCCCCGCTCCGTGTACTAGGCCTATGAGGTCGCCTATCTTTGCTCCGTCTTGGGTGTTAGAAACATGTGGCCCCAGGATCTATATTTCTTGCAGGCAAGCATAAGACAGCAACACAGAAGGTGCACGCTGTCCTCACTTTCCTCTCCACATAGACGGAAGTTCCTCTGCTCGACTAGTTTTGTATTGAATAGGTGTGCTCTGAAGGGCAGGTGTCGAGAAAGAAGGACTATGTCCATTCTCTCTCTGTTTTTCTCTTCCCGTTGCTGTCAGCTCTTTTGTTCTAGCCGGATTGGATTTTTCCATAAATTTCTTGTCTCACCAGCAGCTCTTTGTTTCCAAGAGTTTAAGTGACTTCGCTACAGCATTTCTTTGATCTTTCTTTTATCTAGCACGAAGGGAACTCCGACGGTCTGTTCAGACGGATCCATTTCTGTCTCTAGCTTTCCTAGCCCGTCTTTCTTTCCGGTCTCTCGTTGATCGGTATTTCCTGGTGATCAGCGACCTATATTAATTTGACTTGTTTCCGCTAGTTTGTCAAGGGCTTGCATGCAGTCTCAAACTGTAGACGATTCTGTAGAGCTCTTAGCAAGTGTATTTATAGCTGTTTTGCTATCCAAGCAAATGCAGATACAATTCCTGTTTCTTCTATCGATCAGGAGTTTTGCAAACCTTGAGATGGCAAGTACCTCAGCTTGAAAAATTGTGGACAGCCTTCCTATTGCTATGCTTTCTTCATGATTGGCAATGGGGCCGCAAATGCCTGCCTCAAAACGATCATTTGCTCACGATCCATCCGTGTACCATATATTTGGATTAGAATGTTGGGATCTTGCCAATCCTCCCTAGCCGATTCGATTCTTAAAGGTCTTTTTCAATTGGTGTTTCCTAGGGATCTTGTCTTGCTTCAGTGTGGGGGATCTGTCGGACAAGCCCAGTCTAGTGTGGCCAAGTTTAATTTCCTTCCACTCCCCCTGATATTTCATCCTGTATGTTGCATATCTTGCTATGCTGATGATCACCAGACGCAAGGGTGGAAAACTAAATGTCGCCTCTAACGCCTCGGTATGTATGATTTTTATGGTCCCTGTTGCATCACTCAGGTATCCCCCCCGAAGGCTCTTTGGCAGATTCCTCGCCTCCATCTTCTCCATCCTTGGCCATAATTAGAGGCCAATACCAATTTTTGTTCTTAATAGCTCTAAATATAGTACTATATGACAACTTTAATCGTACAAATCCATATTCTAGGAGGCCCAGCCGAAATATAATTTCAGAAAAACAGCGATACAGAGCGAAGTATAGTATATCCGATACTACTCGGTTAGCGCACCAGTGTTTTCCAAGAATTCTAATATATCAATCCTAATATATCAATAAACAATTTCATCGCAGCGGAGAATTTAAAGTTATTTGGCATTGCTTTAGGTACAGTTATTGCATTAGGCACAGCATTGCGTAAATCA